TGGTTAAATGAGGACCACCTATATTGTACAGTTTCAACAGTATAATCCTATATATGTCTATGTAAAAATAAATCTCCCAATTTCAGCAAAACTAATCAGATAATACTGTAACTTGAGTAAATGTCATTTGTGCCAGCATTAAAATCTGAAAGCAGATTATAATCAGTAGAATTTGAATACTTAGCATACTATAGTGAGAGAGATTCCCACTGATATTTTGGGGGGGAAATTAGTACTAAATGCTTGACATCTGTTTGTTTAGAGTATTTCTTTTAGAAGACTAGATAATGTGCTCTGACAGTTAAAATTATTGCCTCAATAACAGAGATCAGTATTTGAAGATTATGTTGAATTTAAAGTCTCCAAATATTCAAAGGAAAGAAGACACTGGCTGTGCTAGAGCAGTCAATGAAATACATGGAAATATCAGAATCAGAGATGGGTGTCATGAAAACAACAACAAAAACCTAAAAAAATAAAAATAAAATATATACAGAAGAGAGTATGCAGCATAAATTTAGGCCCAAAATTACCTTAAGCTACATTCAAGTTAATCTGCATTGTGTAATGAAAAAGAAGTCAACTGCTTTTACAGTACTTCTACCAATTAGACTAATATTTTTGATCCAGCAGAGAAAGATCAACTACATTTTTGTTTCCCACATATTTTTTCTAAGTAATGAAAAGAAAGGAATAAACCAGAAACCGTGAAACCGTGAAACTAGCTCTTGAGAAGTTTGGGAGGCTGTGAATGATTCTCTAGCCTTTGATAAACATACAGCACTCTGAGGCAAGTTCTCAGATAATCCAGCCATATTAAAAGGAAACATTAGTTATAAATTAAATACAAGCAAAGATCTGTGGGATGATGAAACATTGTAAAGCTCAAACTGATGTTGGCTTCAAAACTAAAACAAATGTAATTTGACTACTTATGATCTTGTTGTAACACAAAGGGTTAGCAATTATCATAAAATCAAGGTTCAAAACCCACAATGGTTATTATTGTGCTTGTTTATTATATTCAAATATCTATGCTGCCCAATTTCAAGTTGTCCTGGGAGCATTATGAAAACAAAAGCAAACCAAAAGTTAAAATCATATGGTCAGCTAAAAGACAAAGTGAGCAGATATGTTTGAGTCAATTCTTAAACTATACCAAAGAAAAATTCATCCTTAACTTGACCCCTCTTTCAAACCAATATTCCTCTCTGTCCAAAATGTGGACTTTGCTGTCTTAAAAAAAAGGCCACTCTTTTGAAGACAGCAAAGTCCACCTTTTGGACGGAGAGGACCGCTGGTTTGAAAGAGGGGTCAAAGAGGCCATCTAGATCAACAGAGGGCGAGAGATATGACATCATCTATCTCCAATCTACAACATAGTCTTTTCAGCAGTTCCAAGAAGACTCCACATCCATTTGCACTACTCAGGTGACCCTGATGACACAGATAAACCTTCAAGTGGTGTCAATGACTCTCTAAAAGAATGCAAATTCTGCAAGGAATATAAATCCTTCCATTCCCCACCATCCAGTCAGAGGTGAAGAAGCTTCTTGGATGAGAAGTGAAATATCTTTAAAGAAAAACAAGAAAGTCCAGTTGCCTCTTGGAAAAGCACCTGAGACTTCTGGGTGAGCTCATCTGTTGTCATGGTGTGAGATATCATTAGAAGCTGATGGTACCCAATTATACATCTCTGCTCCTGGCAAATTAAACAATGTGATAGATGTCTTATCTTGGTACCTGGAGGCTGTCAGGGTCTGGATGGAGAACAACAGCCTTTAGCTAAATCCTGGCACGACTGAGAGCCTTTGAGTTTTGGGGCCTTCTAGTTCTAGGACAATGTCATCTTTTGTGCTAGATAGAGTTGCACTGCAACTTAGGAGTCCTCCTAGACTCACGACTCTTGCTTGATGAGCAGGTAGTAATCATGGCTAAGAGGGCCTTTGCACAACTTTGAATTGTGTGTGCCATTTGCACCCATTCCTAGATTACAGTTATTCATTATCTGGTAACCTACTGTACTCTAAGGTTATACGTAGAGCTTCCCTGGAAACCTCAACTGGTGCAAAATGTAGTAATGCAGGCAGTTATCTATGCCTCTAGAACAGGGGTGTCAAACTGCCCGCCCACGGGACAGTTGCATCATGTGGAGGCCACACCCACCCCAGCTCTGGCAATGCGAAAAAAGTCACGATACATTATTATACGGCACGAGATGTGGCGAGTTTGACACCTGTGCTCTAGAACAATACATATTATATCTGTTCCACAAGCTATATTGGTTGCCATTCTGTTTCCAGGTCCAACGTGCTGATTTTGACCTTTAAAACCCTGCAGGTTATTGGAAGGACCGCCTGCCCCCCGATCATATCTGCCTATCCCAACAGATCCTGTAGAACAGGGTGGCTATGGATCCCTGGACAGGCTAAGGAGCTACATTTGGTGGGTCCCAGGAGCCAGGCTTTCTATGCTGTGATGTCCACTTTATGTAACCTCATTTCCATCCCCAAAAGTGAGGCTGGCTCCATCCCTATTGATTTTCTGGAAGTCCCTCAAAACCTGGTTATGCCATCAGGGCTGGGACTCTAGGGCACTGGTGAGGTAAAGATGACCTCCATTGTAATTAATATCTGCCATTTTTCTTAGTTATTCTGATTTTAAAAATATTGTTTCTCATAATTGTTTTAATATATTAACTGTTTTATACTCTTGTTGTACCCACCTAGAGTCGCTTTTATGTCACTTTTATGCAAGATGGGTAGCCATATAACTTTGATGAATAAATAAAAATTAGATTTCAACTCATTTATATTTTCTCTATACTTTTATGTACATTATTACAGTGTAATAGTATATCATTTGTATGGATATGTGAAGATGTGTCAAACAGTTTCTCCTTCATCTCACTAAATCTTATGTCAAGAGGTAATCATGGGAAGTATTCACTGGAAATCTATGACAGCTAGATTGCTGCTTGTGCTTCCATTACTACAGAATAAAACAACCACAATGTGTGCAATTTAGAAGGATGGGAAGAGAGAAGCATAATATAGCACCTCATTAGATACTGTAGAAATTGCACAAACAACCTGGCACTTATAGGAAATACGTTTTCAGAGAATAACTTTTCAGCTCTTCTCATATATGGGCTCCTGTGATTGTCAAAACCAAGTTATTGCAGTTGCAAATGCTCAACTTTGTATCTCAATTTCTTCTACCAATTAAAATAAAGAAAAATGAATTGAATCTTAGAGTGATGTTTTTCATTTAAAAAATAGTTTTAAAAACTTAGGTCTAGCTTTTTAAGCTGTAGGCAATTATGAATACAGTTTTCATGCATTCAAGATCAAAACCTGAGTCCAGAATGCATAATATCACCATAGTACAAGTAACTCTTTAAGAAAAGCACTTTTCTGAAATTAAATCCTTATGCCAAATTTAGAATACTAATCACAAAGCAAACGAGCAAGCAAGCAATAAAGCTTGCTCTGTGTTGAGCTTGGTGGATTAAAGCAATGCCTGCAAGTCTTAACAAGGCAGTTTTCTCCTAGAGTAAGTTGCTGTCTCTCTGGGATAACCTAAGAGGCTTCTTCCTTTCAGATCCAGATAGAAGTAGCCTGCAACCTTATTCTATGCAAAGTGAGCAATGCTCTTGCTTGAGCTTGAAGAGCCGTGGTGGCACAGTGGTTAGAATGCAGTAGTGCACGCTTATTCTGCTGTCAGCCAGTAGTTCAATTCTGGTCAGCTCAGGGTTGACTCAGCCTTCCATCCTTCAGAGGTCGGTAAAATGAAGATCCAGATTGTTGGGGCAATATGCTGATTCTGTAAACCGCTTAGAGAGGGCTGTAAAGCACTATGAAGTATATAGGTCTAAGTGCTCTTGCTATTGAGCTAGGGCAGTGGTGGCGAACCTATGGCACGGGTGCCAGAGGTGGCACTCAGAGCCCTCTCTGTGGGCACGCGCACCGTTGCCCAAGTCCTAGGCCTTCAGCTGGGTTTTATAAAACCTTTTTGCTTTAGGCCTCCGCCGCTGTATGCAAAAAAAAAAAAAAAGGTGCAATCAGTCAATTTCAACTTCTCGCGGGAAAAAAAAATCTTGCAATATTGGAATTGATTGATTGAACTTTTTAGTCCCACTCAGTCTGCCGTTACCACTGCAGCCACACCCACCCAATGGGCCACACCCACCTGGCACCCGACGATGCATAAGTGGGTTTTGGGTTGCAGTTTGGGCACTCGGTCTCTAAAAGGTTCGCCATCACTGAGCTAAGGAATCAAGTTGAGATGAAGTTTATTGGACCTAACCTCAGTTCTCTAGCAAAGTAACCTACAGGGTCCTAAAAGGGCAAGATGACAGCCACAACCACACAGTTGGAACTCTGCCCCCTTTTTACATGTCACACACGTTAGAGAGTGGTGGGCCATTGATTGGGTGGTTGCAGTAGTGACCTTTTTTGACAGCTCTCTGCATTGGAGGGCAGAAAGACCTCTTCATATACTAGAGATAAGGATGGGGGAAGGGAGAAACTACTAAGAGAATCGTTCATGTGGTGGAATATAGTCTGGATTCCCATGAGGGAGGGAGTGTATTCCAGAAGACCAAAAGCCAGTGAGGTTTAGATAGTCTGTATGGAGGAAGAGAGTTAAGAGGGTTCCTTCTTAGGAGTTCTCAGAGTATGTGTCTAATGGTGCAAGTAGTCTGCTTTGATTTGAAATGATTTCTGTCTACAGGCAAGGAACAATAAAGGAAATGGCTTAGAACAACCTCTGAATGTTTTTCTTGATTTCTGGAGCCTGACAGTTCACTTTCTAAATTAAAATAGGGAAAAATACCAGATGAAACACTTTCATAAACCTAATTAATAATCTCCCTGCAAACTATGCAGTTAAGACAGAAATAGTAAAGACTCAGATGCTGCTCCATCTTCTAGTTTAGAGAAGCATTGATAAAAAAAAAACATTTTAAAACAAACACACACACACACAAACTGGATTATCCCATTTGCTGTTTAATGAGTTACTGAAATCACTTGTTCCTAAACAGCTAACCAAAGTGCCTTCCTTGATCTCCCACGCATCTCTCAAGGAAGGGAGGTGCTCATTTTCTGCTAAAGAAGGTTGTGAATGGACTGGTTTCCATAGTTACATATACAAAGAGAAGGAAAACCAAGATACAAAAAACAGCAATCTTTATCCTCATTGGTATAAGTCGTTCAGCTGGTTTTTCACATGTTTTCTCTGGTTTGTTTTCAGGACGTTTCTTAAGTGAAGGAGGAGTCTCTCTTAATATTCTTCTTCGAGAACTAAAAACACAAAAGGCAACATATTAGCTGATTGTGCTTCTAAAATCCAAAAGGAAGAAAATGCTAGTGTTTTTCTGTTGAGATATGTAGTGTCTGACTAGACCAGTATTTGCCTAACCTGGAAAAGCAGCATATTAGAGAATTTCAGCTGCTGAAAATTAGAACATGTTTATGAAAGGATACAAATAACTAATATTTCAGTAATTCACAATAGGTTGAAAATTAACATAATAGCACCTAATACAAAGAAACTGGCACCACGGAATTTTAATGAGGCTTGTATATAACAGGTACAAGTTACTGACAGAAACTCCTATACAACAAAAGAAAAAAAAAATCCATGCAAAGGGACAGTTTTTGATCCTATCTTTAACAGCATTTATGGCCTTTTGTCTAGCAATTGTTTTGTTAGGCTAATTGTTGAAGCACTGAATATCTCAACTATCCTATTTGCCTTTTTCTCATTAGAAAGTCACTCCCACTATCTTACTCACTTTTAGTTTAAAATATTACAAACTCACTCCTTGGAGGTTTTCTTAACACTCTCTTTTAATCCATATGGAAGCCTGTAATCATCAATTAGGTAAATTGTTTTTAGTATTTTCAATTTTTCAGAGCAACTAGAGATGATTTCTAGTGGAAATCATGTTTTGTTTTAACAAAATAGGTTTATTGGGGGGATTGTCTAATAAGTGCTAGTTTTTCTTTATTGTGGCTTTCTGTGTATTGTGTTTGGGGGTGTGTGCCTAATAAGTGCTAGGTTTTTTTTTTCATTACTTGGAAACCACTTGGAAAAGCATTGAAGAGCTTCTCAGGCTTCCTTCATTATGATAAGATAATTCTCAAGAACTTTACCTAGTTCCTACGGTGCTCGCATCAGGATGACCATAATCAATGTGCAGTGTATCACTTTTCTGAAAAAGAATGATGAATTTACGAATTGGTGTGACCATAAATACATGAAATGCACATTATTTTTCTGGTAAACTAAAGGAATTACCTTCTTTGGGGGATTTGACAATTCCTTAAGCACAATTTAAGAACAATAAAAAACATAAACAACTATAAAAATCATACTATAAAATTCATAGCCAAGGTATCCTTACATCCATCAATAGCACTCAATATAGATTCTACTCCACTTCCAGGTTCTCATGATGGATGGCAAAATCACATTTTCAGACTCTTACAAAAAGCCAGCAGATTGGGGCCAACCTGACCTTCCAGGGTAGAATCCATATCTCTTCTGGTTATTTTGGGAGAGTGGGGGATTATGACAATTCTGGTCCTAGAAACAATTCTCTTCACTGAGATTTTCACTGGCCTTGAAAGAAGCAATGATGCATCTTCTCCTCAAAAAGCCATCCTTTGATTCAATAATTCTGGAGAATTATCATACTTTCCCTTTTTAGTGAAAGCTGTTGAGACTCATACATTTACCACTCACCAGTTTATATTACAGCAATGTGCTTCATACAGGGCAGCCTTTAAAGACCACTCAGAAATTGCAACGAGTACAAAATATAACAAGCCATATATAGGCAAATCAAAGTCATCATAGTTAAACAACACTTGTTCGAGGGTTGCTGCAATGTAGTTAATAGGTTTCTGGGTGTAATTCAAAATCGTTCTGTTCTTTTGGGAAACTATTTAAGACCATTCCTGAGGTCATCCAAGGAATGAATAGTCAACATAGTATCTTTGTGCCTTTGTATTGATTGGAATGGAATGGGGGAGGGAAGGAGAGAAAAATATAAGGATAAGGATAAGAATAGGAATAGGAATAGAAATAGAATAGGAACAGAACGGAATAGAATTTTTTATTGGCAAATGTGATAAGATATGCTAGGAATTTGCCTTTGGTGCAAAAGTTCTCAAGTGTACTTACAAACAACAAAGTAATATAATCATAAGATACCAATAGGAGAAGGTAATAGAAAAGATGAGAAGGATGACAGGAATACAGCCATACTACATGAGTAAACATCCTTAGACATAAGATTATGGTATTCATCTTGGTTTTATTGATTATTTTTAATGTTGTTTGGTTTTATGTTGTCAACCAGTCTTGTTCTCTGCCTGGCACTACAAAAATATAAGTTTTTTTTAAAAAAATATGCATGTGTAGTACTTTGATTGCCCCAAATTATTCAATCTTACTGTCCTTCAGTTTATTAAACATTTGCCAGGAACCCATGGGAAAGTGAAGTAATTTGTAAAAGATACAGAAACGTAGTAGAGAAAACCAAAGCTTATTGCTAGAGCTAACTGTCTAATAAATTATCCTTAAATGTATAATCCTCTTTTCTGTTAAAAGCCCATCCAACACAACAAAGGCAAATATATAATTTGAAGCCTGGTACCAAGTACTGTGGCAATACTAGACCATCATTGGGAAGACCCATTTACAACAGAGCTCATTCAGTGACTTTGGATAAATCACTCCCAGTACCCAGCCCACCAAAGTGGATTATTATTGTGAGATAAATAAGAGAAAAGTTCCTTAGCTGCCAGGGATAAGGCAAAATATATATCCAGCCAATAAACTGCAGCACCTGATTAACAGCCACTATTCCAACTGACTTATTCAATATAGTTTCAAATCTGATGTTACTCCCTAGGAGGAAATTATTGCTTTCATCTTAGGCATCTCTTATTCATTATCTAAGATTTGTCCTTGGATGTAGATTCGGAGCTAAATCTTGTCTGTGTGGATGCAATTTCTTCTTCCAGCTCTTGACTACTTTGTTCCTAGGATACTGTTTCTTCTCACTGAGCTCTCCAAATTCTAGCTTGAGCTCTGAAATACATACCTGCCTACCCTTAAATAGCCAAAATAGAAATGCCAATCTGATGAACACAAATTGCCAGCCCTAAGGCCTGAAAAGAAAATAAACAATGAAGTGAAGGCCTCAAAGAATACCTTGGTGGCTGATGAAAGAAAATTACTAAAAGAGCCGCTATTGTTTACCTTTTCAACCTGGGCAAGATGCCTGGACTTCAACTCCCAGAATTCCCCAGCCAGCATGATAAAGAGTTGTTCTGCTTTGGGATCTAACTCAATGTAGTTACAGAACTGATTGCCTGCAGATTCGCCATTGTGTGTACAAACTTTTCAGCCTATTTAGTATTAATCTGCAACAATCCATAAGACACTACTACAAAGACATCAAAAGTCTTCAAGAATATCTCCTCCCAAGGATACTACACTAACACTATAAACTAAGCATGCCGCATATTTCCCCCAGATACAAAAAGGAAAGCATAAAAGAACAGGCAAAAAGTCTTTAGATACAACCACAGTGTTTCATCTTTTGGAGGGAGTGGATTGGAATTAATCATTCAAGGTTTTATCTTGTATCGTTTATCCATGGTACAAAAGCCAATAGAAAAAAATGTGTTAAAAATAATGCCTGCCTACTATTTCAGAGATTAGCAGCTACATTAAGAAGGATTTCTTTTATCTCATATTTTAAAGCATTTTTTCAAGTGAAGGTGCTTTTCAAACAAAGCCATTCTTATGCCTTATGATCTAAAGTCTCTTGTGCCAATAAAGCCTTCAGCAATGCTACTATTTTTATCTTCTTTATACAAGAAGAAATAAGAGGTCAGGAGGGACGACAATGAAGCACTTAAAGTGATGTTATTGAATAACTAAGAAGGTTAGCTCCCTGTGGCTTACTCTGTTTTAAACACATTTAAGGCCTCTAGAATATTATTAATTCCTTGCTGAAGAAAGGGGTTCAATACAATAAATAGGTTTAATATCTAGAGGAAAGTCAGGGGCCTATAAATATTTTGGATGGTTTATAAAATTTTCTCAGCTATGTCTTTCCTGTAAGCTTAAAAGTAGACTTTAGGGTTTAAATGTGCTGCCAGAAGTTTTTAACACTTCTCTGTCTCAAAAAGTCTTGTGAAAATTGTTTGTAGACATTGTCATCTTCAATTTGTATTCTAATTTCTCCACATTTCTATATTTCCCCCCAGAAGGGAGATGGAAAGGCTAGAAAATGCTTCTTAACAAGTAGTATTAGGGACCTTCTGTTTTGAGACACCTTTAGAGCACTTTGTAAGACTCACTTTTATGGTAAAGTGTATGAAAAGATTTTGGGTAGTGATGACAAAAAAAAAGGCAGGGATTTTTCCCTACCCACTTGGAACATAAATACTGTCGAGATTGGTTTGTAGCCCTGGCTCTGAGCAGCTTACGATATAGTGTGTTTCTGGAGAGTGGGAATGGAAAAAAGGTGCAGTCATTCCGCCCCAAGCATTCCCCCCAAATCCAGAATATCTTCTACTGCTCTGAAAGCCTGGATAGAACTCTAAAGATGTCTCAGATGGAGAAAGAATAGTGCTATGAACCTCCCATCTGAAAGTAGCCCAGATTATATGTAAATAAAAAAAGTACTTTAATCGTGCCTCCTCAGCACCTATAATATTGTAGTCCAAAATCTTCAATTTGAGGGAGTTAGATCTGGCTATCATATGCCAAGTCAAGTGTGACCAAATCAGATAGGTAGTACCCTTAACTACTTTTGATCTGAATGTTACATTCCTGCTGATGCAGGGTTTCTTAGTTTTGGTCTAATTAAGTTCATACGGTAGAAAGTTCTAGCAGTTGGGCCACTTTCAAGAGAAACATATCATTTGATCTGTTTAGAGCTGTGTGCGATTCCTCAATAATAATTTATTTTACATTTTGTTTCAAAATTCTACCTTAACAAATTATATGTTTAATATAAGATTTTAAAACATTGTGTTCAAAAGATACCTTTTGTTTGGTTGTCTCAGAGCTATTGCCAACTTTCTTCCTTAATCCTTGTGACCGATGTGACGCCATTTTACCTTCTGGTAATATCTCTTGAAGCTGTTAATAGACAAGTTGATACTAATGAAGAAACATACGGACAGGATATAAGCATGAAACTTCCATGGCAAATATCTATCCTCTCTGATCAAATTTCAGAAATATTGGGAGTACAACTGCATGTTAATTTAAAATTTGCCTGCTTTAAAAAACACTAGGGCTGTTTTGACTTTTCGATTTGAAGGAAATAAAGTGGCTTTAGCAGTTGCAAAGGCACTCACGCGGGATCTGTCAGCAAGTCTTTAAACCAAACATGTCTTTTCCTGGGATCATGCTGCTGCTGCCACCCTTGCTGTGGAAGGCAGCTGTGCTACCTGGGAAAATCTCTGCTGCTTTAAATAGTTGCCAACAAGTGCAATGTAAGTACCCTACACCAGTGCTTTTTTTTGTAAAAACAAAAGGTGCCGGAACTCACACATGTCATACAACCCGCCTTGCCTATCCTATAAGGTTCCATCCAAAAAAGGTGTCGGAACTCCATTCTGGGTGTTCTATGACAAAAAAAGCCCTGCCCTACACAATTCAAAAAGTCTTTTTCTCTTTGACCCTGAAGCATTGCTTTCTGGGTTTTTTAAATACATATTATGGACCATCTCACAAAACCACTGCCATTTTAGATACGGTCAACTCATTTTTGTTTGATTGTTTTCTTTTAGTTTGGTACCTTCCAAATAAAGTACCAAGCCACCCATTTTTTTCCACCCCAAAAGGCATTCAGAGTCTATTAGGTTTCTTTTGGCATTACTGGAAATATAATTCTACTTGAGAATGCCAGTTTGTTTAAATACACCAGCTTCCCATTTTTTTTTTAAAAAATGACACAGATGCCAAGGTATGGATTAGAAGACAAATTACATCTTTGGGAACCTGCTCAAGCAGTTACAGTACTTACTTCTGCTACTATTTTGGCTAAACTGTGCTCAGAATCAGGCGACAAGAGTTTCTTCTGGCGTTCTGTTATTTCATCTAAAGGTGCTTTCTAAGGCAGAAGAGAAAGCATAACCGAGGTTGCAAAAAGATAAGACTGTATTAGATGCATGGTGCTGGGATAATACAAGTTCTTAAATGTGAGCAGAAGCTCAAAGTTAGCAGGCTATAAAAATCCTATGTTTTTCACACAGTGGTACTGTAATTAGTGCAGCCACACGCAAGGGTTCAATGCTTACTCACAACACAATTCAAAATGTATATTTAGTGATACAGCCCTGAAGAAGGCTGTCTTGGGAGCACATTTTGAGAGATGGACCAGGTTCTACCTCTCTTACATAGACACAGGAGTAATTCTTAGAAGGTGAAACATTTCCCTGTATTGGCTATAAAGGAGGGGTTTTAAAAAGTGATCTACAATGTTCACTTGAAAAGCATTCATTACAGATAAATAACTTCTTTTTTATGGCCTCTAGGGGACACAGTTTAGACTCTTGTGTGCTGACGCATTGGATAGGCTGAAATCACATGAATTAATTGTTAAAGTTCAATGCTTTTGTCAAAATCTGCATTGGTTTGGATTCTTATAGGTACAATGTAATGGCCGAAAACATGGAGAAATGAAAACAGACACCTGCCATCCAAAATTCAAGAAAGATGATTCTCTGGGGTAGGTTATTCTCCTGAAGTGATTCCTATCATTGTTAAGAAGGAGTTTATTTGCCAATTAATAGCACAGAGCAAAACAATATTTTAGTCCAAAAGATCACATGCAGAGCTAATTGTTGAATTAGAAATTATGTGCACACATATTCAAGTTCTCCCTGCTGGATGGATAAGAATGGAGCCTCCCTTTCCTTAGCAAAAAGTCTTCATTTATTTTCCAATATTGAGAAAATTGGGATTTATTTATTTAATGTACTGTATATGCTGCCCATCTCGTTATCAAGAGACTCTGGGTGGTTTACAAACATCATAAAATACTAGACATTAAATAAGCAGAAATTAAATAAGTTAAAATAATAAAACTGGATAAAAATCCAATAAATAAATACATAAAACCAGAATACTAATGGGGTGGAGGTGAGACCTTCTATTTAATCCATTAAAGACCTCCAGCACAGAATGTCCCCATCAAAGCCCCAGGCCAATTGGCAGAGCCAGGTTTTGAAGCTCTTACAGAAGGTCACGAAGATGGGGGTGGATCTCCACTTGAGGGGAACAATGTTCCAGAGGGTGGAGGCCAAGTAGAAAAGCCCCTTCTCCTGGACCCTGCCTGTTGGAATTCCTAGACCAATGGGGTCCACACATGCCCTTTCTACCAGAATGAGTGGAGAGGTCCCATCCCACTGGAGTGAGATAGTTCCTGATGGACTTGTATTATAAAGGGTTTTAAAGGTCATAACCAACACCTTGAATTGGACCCAGAAGCAGACTGGTAACCAGTGCAGCTTGCACAATAGCTGCAGTTGCATTCTTTGCAAGCTGTAGCAATTGTAGGGGGAAGAGGACAAATGCAAAGGATCTAGGGAAGAGGTCCATGGGGAAAGAAGAGAATTAAAGCCTCTACCCCACAATTGTCCAGGGAAACAGAAAGACCAAAACAATATTCCCACAATCCAGCTTAATCAGCTAGAATGCTGTCAGCCCTTCAAGGTAGGCCAAATCAAGAAGCAGACATCACAGTAGTTTCCAGAATGCTATAGTACGGCTGTAGAGCAGTGTTTTTAAATCTTGGCAATTTTAAGGTATGTGGACTTCAACTCTCAGAATATTCCAAGTACTGGCTAGGGAATTCTGGGAGTTGAAGTCCTCATAACTTAAAGTTGCCAAAGTTGAGAAACACTGAACTACGTAGATGTCTCATGTGTTGGGGCAATTGTTACAATTTATGCTGAGGCAGCTCAATACTGCATCCTCAGTGTGGTCTGATGTAATCCACCCAGACTGGGGTCATTTATTTGGATACTGAGCCCCAAGCATGGAGGTGAAGGAGGAAGAGAAAGAGAAAAAGAATTTACAAACTTGAAAGCAAAGTATTTTGGCACCTCACAAACTATTTGGAGAACTCCTAAGAGAATACCCCTTATACATCTATAACATCACAAACTTGAGAGGACTTATATAGAAATCCTCAGGGACCAGTTAAACCGTTCAGTTGTCTGGAAACAGTACTGTACTGTGAAAATCATCTGGGGATGAGTTTGCAAAACCACTGAACCTGGAGCTAGAATCAGAAGAAAAAAGGAAAAGATCTATTGGGACTGAAACAAGATACTCAGAAGACTGTGGATCTACCAACATTTAACAGACATGATTAGCATTTCTTAAACAGAGCTTAAAAGGATATAATGGAAGATAGTTTTGCTTGTTTTTTCTAGTTTCTTTAATACCACTTTCCCACTTTTTCCACTTTTCCAGTAATAATTCCTTCTGAGATGCATTTATATCTTATAAAATTGGCTCGTTCTTAAATACCCAAATAGTCTATTTTACTCCAGATCCCCTGAGGCCCTAATGCATTAACAGAATCCACTGAAATACTTTCCAATTATGTGAATGGAGTAATTGCTTCACTTGTCAGGAGTCTGACACAAAGTACATCAGTTTATATTCACCTGTAATTGCTTGCATTTATCTATAGACACAAGATTTTCATAATTGGTGTAACTTACATGATCAGAACTACAGGCACGTTCTGCTGATACTCTAAAGTTACTGTTCTGAAGAACGACTTCTGCGGCTGGTCCTGGGGTAGAATAACATCTTTTGAGCAATTCTCCCATTACCCATTTCAGAAGCAGTTGCTATTTCTTTCTCCTTCTCCAATGTAGCCATGAGAAAACCAGCAGCTTTGTTTACTTGACGTTACATCTAAAACTAATTAATATTAGCTAGGGTTTATCTGAATAAGTTTGAATATATTATTCAGAGTTACTGTATATGTGAAAGAGAGCCATTAATTTTGACATTTCTTGAAATAGACTACTCCAGACACAGTGAGAATTGGACAGTTCTCCCAATGTTTGTTCGGATATTATCTGTATAATTAATTCTGCCCAGCAACTGGACTGTGCATTCATATGAAAAGAGCTTCCAGCTGATATATAAGATTATAGGGTTTCGCATGGTGATCTGTTTTTTATTTTGTTCTAATAAAACAAGTTTCTGGGATGTGAACAAAGCAATGTCAATAAGCATGCTACTTATGCATCAGACATAAATTGTGTACAAAATAATTCACTTGGTAGATTCTTTGAAATCAATGGGCCTTAAATTACCTTGCTCTAGACATGAATAAAGCCAATTAATGTTAATTTTATCTGTTGATAACAGCAAACACTAAGTGATCATTATATTCATACACAGAGAGAGCAACATTTCATTCAGCGAATGATTATTAGGCATTACCTTTTGCTCCAACATTTTCCGTTTCGCAATCAACCTTTCGGCTTTTCTCTCCAGCTGCTGCTCCTGGGCATTGCTTCATCAATTGCTGAAGCTTGTTTTCATAAACGGTTCTTGTGGAAGCTAAAACAAATAGATCAATCTGATCCTTTGCTTTGAGTTTTTTTGTTCTACTCTATATTATTTAATTGAATGCAAATTTTAAACATTCAGAGCACTTGATAATCATAGAGGGTATCTCATACTTATACATCACTTTCTTCTCTGGAAGCTCAGTATATATGTGAGGCCTTATTTTATCCCTACAACCCTGTGAGATAAGTTGGGATAAAGCCTATCTTAAAACTGCCCACTATACTACTCCATGACTGAATGGGAATTTGAACCTGAATGTCTGCATGCCAAGTCCAGCATCTTAAAGCATTATAGTATACCTCCTGTCTTAAGCATTCTTCAAATACTTGAAGAAATTATATCCCCACCTTGGTTTTCTCTTCTATATGCTAAATAACCAACAACTTCAAATATTCACTGGACTTGTTTCACTATATCTGATGACATTTATTTACTTAATCCAATTTATCTATAATATTTTTAAAAGGCCTGTCAAAAGCTAATGTCAACCTTGAGATGCTATTCACATCTATCTCCATTAATCCAGGTGCCTCTCATCTTACAACTATGTAGTGTGTTTTTACCTAAATTCAGAAACAATACAAAAATGAAAAATAATCTCTTTTTGATACTTCTATATCCATTTTGAATTGTACTCCTCTCTTTGAGGTGTTTCCTGTGTAATGTCATCTGGAAACTCAACAAGGATTCATTCTACCCTTCAGCTAAACCATTAATCATAAAAATGCTGAAAAATATTGGTGGAAGAACAGAATCCTTCTCATTGAAGGCCAGAAAAAGTACTACCATATTAAAAATCTAGGGAATTTAGTAAATGCTTATCATTTTAGAATGCCTAGACGTACAAGTCCTTATTTTTAACTAAGAGTACATTAAACAACATTCATGATTTGGAAAATTTGTAGCAAAATATGCAGAAGCATAGCCAGAGCCCACAAGATAAAACAGAATATATCCCTGAATAAGAAGTAGTTTTTTTGGGAATACATGGCACAACAGCAATGCCATATATTCACATACACAAAAAAGAAAGAATCTCAAGCAGTTGCACTTCTATTCCCTGATCAAAATGAGCTTGCCTCAAGCTGAATGTGTTTCAAGACTTGGTTATAGTAGTGAGCTTAGCTTTCCTTTATGTCTCCCAAGATCATCATGCATCTGATACATACGTAATATTGGTCCAGGGTTAACTCCATATGAGCAAAGCTGCTTCCATAGTTCAGTGTCAGTCAGAGTTTTAATATCAACTTCTTCTTTCACACTTTGTCCTTCGGTGTCTTGTTCCTTGCTTTTTATATGCACATCTACAGTAACATTCTCCATGTCTCCAAACAGTGGGCCTATGAAAGAAAGCATAATGCTGGTTAAGAATTTGATTTCTTTCAATGCTTTGGAAAAAATGTTCATTAATTGCTTTTGTATTTAATAAACACATATTACTTAACTAATGCACCTGGATTCCTGCCAGTTTTGAAATGATTTCAAAATGATTTATCAGTATTATCAAATGAACACTATTACAATGTTCATCAGCTCTGTGAGCATTCATAAAAACACAGATATCAAATAAAGTGGCATATTTCACTGGCAATTAAAAACAGGGAAAAAAATCCCAGTTCTAAAGAAAAAGATACAGGATGCAAGTTACACTGGAGAGATCACACATGGAAGTATAATATACTTGACAGCAAAATTGGTAATCACATCTCTACTTTTCTTTCTCACCCATAACATTTTCTGAATCATCTCCATGTATATCAACCACATGTTTGAAGTGGACACCCCTATCATTTATTTGCAAGTCAGATGTCCCAGGTTCAGTTTAGTCTTCCATGCATTCAACCCACCACCCAGCTAAGAAACTGGTGATCTATGAGAGGAGAAGGTAGGAAATAGTCATAGGATAGACGGACATTCACTGTACNCCATCTGTTGGACGTAAAAGCAACACACGCTACGATTTTACGATTCCAACAAGCATTGTGAAATTAAACATATTACAAACGTGCGCTTTCTCTTTTCTTTCTTTTCCATTTAACCAGACTGAGCCACAGCAACGCGTGGCCGGGTACAGCTAGTTTGAAATATAATACTGTTTTTGTTTACAGTATTTTAAAAACAATTTTCAATGTTTTTGTCTGGCTCCATCTGGCAAAAACATGAATAGTGTAAAGAAATGCACACTGCAATGGAAGCCTAACATGGGAATCTATTAAGTCTCATATAGAACTCAGATTACACTGCCATGTGTAATAGCCACAGAAATGCCCAGCTGTGTTAATTCAATATATATCCAACACTGCTAACCAGTTTTGCAAAGATGCATATAAACTATTAAGAACTTATATTTTGTTTCAGTGGAAAACACTGCATTTATCGATTTTATTTCTTGTATACTCAGTATTGCTTTAAGATTATTTAAGATGCATGAAAGGCTGGAGGGGCATCCCCAGGAGAATGGGGTGTCAGATTAAGGTGCTCCTGGTTTGCTATAGGAAATTTAGCCAGGACAGGATTATTGCCAGCAGCTCCTAGATTGCCAGCAGATTCAAAGCCCCTTTGGTTTCAGACCAAGGTCTGGGATTAATCTCCGGCAGTTTTCTCTGGTTTGTTATTGTGGCAACTGAAGGATTTATTGGGGTGAAGGTAGAATCCCCCAATTTATCCCTACACCCTCTAAACTGGGAAGTCTTTGAACCGCTCAGGGTCCTTGAGAGGCATTTTATTAACCATCATTAACAGATATATTATTTAATTTTCTTACTCACTTCCCATTCTACCACCTGCTTCACTATTAAAAGTTTTTTTTTTCAGAGCAACCCTAATCACAATAGATTTAAAATTAAAGTGCTTTTCATTGTGCTCCTGGAGATCATTCACCAAATTACTATCATCTTTCCAGATACTTATAAACGGCCTTCAACAATAAATGTTGAAAATGTGTAAAAATCTCTCTTTCCTGCTCTATTTTATTAAGATTCAGCCTCCTTTTGTCCTCCTTGTGAAGAGTGGCAACTACTGTACCTTCTTTGTTTATTTTTCCTTCCAGGATTTCCCGTTTGATCTTCTATTTTCCATGATTTCAATTACATTCATCGTGCTTTATCGGGACAATGAGCCGCCTCCCGTGGCCCCCAAGACCTTTATTACGTATTTCTTGACTTCAGCCCTTCCCACGTGTAAGCTTTCCTCTCCACAAACAACCCGTGAGACTGGTTTAAAGAGAAACTACGAGCAGGGGGGAAGAGAAAAGTGATACTGCCTATATTTAGAGTAAAACAAATCCCTCCTTAGGAAAGGGATGCCATGACCCCGACGTGATTCGAACACGCAGCCTTCTGATCTGGAGTCAGACGCGCTACCGTTGCGCCACGAGGTCTTGCGGCTCAAGCTGCAATCCAACATCCAAGAGACTGATCGTCTCGTCCGGCTTCAGATTTTTTTTTTTTTGTTTTCGTTCTTTTCAGGCATGCGCATACGTTCTTCTACGTTTAAACACGATTAAAGAGGGTTTGTTTTCCTTTTATTCCTACCACTGAATTCACTATGTGAAAATGTAAACCACAGCTTCACTTCTGTTCATCTCTTCTGAGGGTACAGAAGCAATCCCTGAAAATGCCACCCGCCCCCAACCCTAAGCCCGTTGTCGGGCACCACCCAGTCAGTCAACGGGCAGGCCACGCCTCCCGCAGGAAAAAAAAAAAAAACGCGAGAAATTGTGAGGTAAGAGAAGAGATGGCGGGCGCTACCATTTCTGGCTGCACAGCGAGGGGAGAACACCTTATTCAGGATCCCTAGAAGTTTAGAGAGGCGCGCTGTGTTGTGGTTTTCTTAAGGCACAGACTTCGAAAAGGCAGCTGTAAACAATTTTCAATGCAACAACAAAGCTGCATTCCTTCACGACAACGTATCTACTTGCTCTATCGCAGCAAGGCAGCCATCCTCCCCTCCACCCCTTCCAAATTCTTCAGGCATAAACTCGAGTACCGGGTTTATTATGTTAATAGTCCTTGCGGACTACAGCCTGTTTCTGAGGCTTTAAATCAGGGGTCCTCAACCTTGGCAACTTTAAGACTTGTGGACTTCAACTCCCAGAATTCCTCAGCCAGCTTTGCTGGCTGAGGAATTCTGGGAGTTGAAGTCCACAAGTCTTAAAGTTGCTAAGGTTGAGGACCCCTGCTTTAAATGTTATTCTCTATGGCCAGATTATGGCATGTTTTTGACAAAGATGACCCCTCTTTCCAGGTGATCACTCTCTCTCAGTTTAACTCGCCTCACAATTGTTGTGAGGAAATAGGAGGGAATATTAGGCACGTTTGCTGCCTTGAGATGTTTGTAAATATAAATATTTATATTTATAATGGGATATAAATAAAATAATTTGTGCCCTACATATTGCTGGATTTTAGGTTGCATCCACCCCAGCCAGCAGAGTACGAATTGATGGGAAGTGGAATCTGGAAATTGATTATGTGCCATCAAATCACTGTCAATTCTTAGGAGCCACATACCATAGATAGATTTTTCCTCTTCATCAGAAAAAGTTAACTTTTATATTGCTTGCCACAAAAGAAAATCCCATGGTGGATATGTATACACTAAATGTACTGGAGCCTAACAATGTAGTCCTATCCAGCACATGAATTCCTATTCATATTTTTTGATACGCAATTTAGTTCATTATTAAGCTATGTCTTCATTTCAATATATATATATGGGGATGTAGGTGTAAGGGTGGGTGTGGGTATGGGTGTGGATGGATGTATCAGATCCATTCCACAAGATCTTTTATATAGATTTGAACTCCCCCCCTCATATTTAACCATGTACTCCCCTTTCTGTGTTGCAATCTCCTGTCTCCCAGTGTCATCACAGAAGGGGCTATTAATGTTGATCACCACTACCCATCATGGCTTAGTCAACAAAGCTTTTTATTAACTTAAGAAAGGGGAGGTTAGGTTAACAGCCTTAGTTGTATCTATGCTACCTGCACAATTCCCAGCTGTTGGTAAGAACATAATAAATTGTCAGTTTTGAAATATTTGGGGTAATATGCCACAAGCATAGCCAAACATGTCATTTGTCCAGCCCAAGTTTATTCTGAGCACACACATACTGTTCTATGCGTGTTAGAATCTTTAATCTGAAAATTGCATTGCAGGTCTTTGCTGTGGTCCACATTCTACCAAATAGGAGGTACATGCAAAATGCTAATATACTCAAGATACTTCTCCATATTAAGCACATCATTTTAATGTAAGGAAGGACTCTAAGCTCAAAAGCTGTAAAAGATCCTATAGAACATGGGTGTCAAACTCGATTGTGTCATGGGACGTATCCACTGGTGGGATTCAAATATATGAACAACCAGTTCTCTGTGTGGATGCTGCTTCCGGAAGTCCATTCGGGGCCTGGGCAACAAAAAATTAGCTACCGGTTCTGCCGAAGTGGTGCGAATCAGCTGAATCCCATCACTGGACATACCATGATGTATTGCGATATTTTTTGCCTTTAGGGAGCTGGGATGGGCGTGGCCTGCGTGTGACGCATCCGGCCTGTGGGCCACCAGTTTGACACCCCTGCTATAGAATAATGGCAATGTTACATGAATGATTTATTACAGTCAATAAATGCAGGCTAGATGCTTACCTCCAATTTTATAATCCCCATTAGGCAAGAGCATATTAAAGAGAGAGGAAAGAAGATGACAACTTCCACATAAATCTTGCACTTTGTACTCCTTCCTTTTCATTGCATAGGATTGTTACCCTCAATGACCCTGTTAAAAGAATACAGTGTATTTTGTTTGGCTGTTTGTTTTGATATGATGAGTCCTTTGGGAGGATTGCGATTTTAAAAAGAAAGATATACATGTAATAAGACAAAGGGATGCTGCTTGTCCCATCTGCTGCTTTCAGATATTTTGGACTAATTTCTAAGCCAGCAAAGAAGGCACAATATTCTTCTTCCTAGCATTTTCCAATAGGTACGTGGTCTGCTGTTTGGATCAACGAATGCCCTTTTACACCATCAAATGTAGCAACCAGGTCCAACATGCCCATGTCAGTTGTATTCTACCACCTTTGCCTTGCTCTTATATGCAGGCATTTGCCACCAGTGTTAAAATAGTAGGCAATGCAAGCAACAGTGTGAGCCGCTGCTTATAGGATGTGACAATTCCACTGAAATCATTCTTTCTGCATTTACTCTGTTATTGCTATAATGGCCGTCTGCTGCCAGACTATGTCATTGCTGATGTGGTCAAGAAGGGACTCACTTAGTGATCAATGGAGCATATACAATACCATGGCATGTAGCGGGCGCTAGGAGAAGATGGATGTAAAATAGTCATGCACTTACCTAACTGCTACTCTGAAAATGCAACATCCTGTAGCATAAGTAAAACTTGGAACATGAGCCAAGGGACATGCAGATTTAATCGAACTCCAAATAAATTCTGTTGATTTCAGTGGCGATTGTTTTGAAGCAATAAAGAGTCTTCTGTCATCTTAAAAATTAATAGTTCTTGCAGTGGAAATTTTCATGAACTAAAGTTAATGTTATGAGATTTGAGCTACTGAGGATATATAGGTAGTCCTCACTTAACCACAACTGGGCCTGGAAGTTTGGTTAAGTGGGTCACCACATGACTTGATTCAGTTTTATGGCCATTTTATAAGGATCATAAAGTATGTCACTGCAATCCTTAAACAAATGGCAGATGTTAAGCAAGTCCCATGGTCAGTAAACAAATTCAGCATATCCAACAGGCAATTTTTGCCATTTTCTGCTGGAAAAGGGCCAAACACAACACAAATCACAGTCCTGTGACTGAGGGAGGCAGCCCAATGTTTTACAATGGCCAGAAGAGCTTTTTCCAAGATTGTTGTAAATTTGAACAGTTGTTAAATGACCAGTTGTTAAACAGAACTACCTGTAATATTGTAGTCTTAGAAATCTTATTCATATATATTAGTGGAAATTGTGCACTCCATAGAAAGTATTGTACATCTGAACAAAAATATATAGTAATGTCATCTTCAGTGGGTGGGTGGATGAGTGTATTTATTTGAGAAGCATTGAGGTGCACATTCTGCTATAATACCTTTACTTCTTCATCATTATTCCCAGTCCCCAACATCAGAGGGAGAACTCAATCTGTACTACAGTCCTTGGAGCATTGTTGTAAGAGCAATAGGAATACACTCTATAGGTACAGTATTAACCAGCCCTGAGTATGTGCCAAATGAAATGTTTGCTGTATTTCTTTCTCAACAAAACTCTTAATTTCAGAAAAACTTGAAATTCTGCCACTTTTATTTTTGCCTGTGTGCTGGTCATCTCTAACATGGATCAAGAAATGCCATAGAGAATTTCATTCAGGGAATGTAACAAGTTTCCAAATGATCTCTTCCCCCCCCTCCCAGCTGATTTCTGTGCAAAGAAGAAAAGAAAAGCCCTGCAGATGGCACTGTCTGGTCCTTTTTTCCTTGCCGGATCTGTCTCCAAGCTATTCCAGGCAGTGGGGAGTGCAAAAAGAGATTAGCTAATCACGTCTTTCATATGTCTGCACTAAACCTGCGAAAATAGTTATTATAAAATTGAGGGCGGTTTGCTGATCCCAGAATAAATAGAGCTCTTTTGACTGTTAAAAGATTAGATAAATTGTTGTGTTGTTCTTTGTCCATCATTGTTAATAAACTGAAGTTGTGGTGATCAATACATTTGATTTACACCATACAGACTTCTACTGACCAGTCGGTTAAACCCGTCCCTTACAGGACCATTGAAACCCGTTTGCACATCTGTGACACCAACAACGTGACTACCGAGATCTGAATACGTTGAGTACGTATACAACACGAAGACGTTACGTCGAATGAAACATTTGAACTGTAGGCTTATGGATGAGGCCCCATCTGATAGAGTGATTTTGCACCAGGGTTTCTCAGTTGGTTGTATCTTATAGAATACAGAATTTTATTTATTTGTTAAATTTGTTTGCTGCCCAACTCTCCTTGGGGTTATACTGGGCAGCTTACAATATTAAAAGTTATAAAACTGTAAAATATAAATATTTCAATAGAGAATAACAGGGTTGGAAGGGACCTTGGAGGCTTTCTAGTCCAATGTTCTGCTCAACCAGGAGACTTTATACTATTCTGGACAAATGGCTGTCCAATCAAATCTTAAAA